GTATAGTCCAGGCCATGGTTTTCCCAGTTGCAATGTATGGCTGTGAAAGTTGGACCATAAGAAAGGTGGAGCGCAAAAGAATTGAGGCCTTTGAACTATGGTGCCGGAGAAGACTCCTGCGAGTCCCTTGGACTGCAAGGCATTCAAACCGGTCAGTCCTAGAAGAGATCAACCCCGACTGCTCATTAGAAGGCCAGATCCTGAAGTTGAAACTCAAGTACTTTGGCCACCTAATGAGAAGGAAGGATTTACTGGAGAAGAGCCTAATGCTGGGAAAGATTGAGGGCAATAGAAGAAGGGGACGACAGAGAATGAGATGGCTGGATGGAGTCACTGAAGCAGTAGGTGTGAATTTAAATGGACTCCAGAAGATGGTAGAGGACAGGAAGACCTGGAGGAACGTTGTCCATGGGGTCGCGATGGGTCGGACACGACTTCGCAATTAACAACAACAACAAGCCTCGAATATTCCACATTTCGTGCATTTTATTTATGGAACTATATATCACTTCCCCAATGTAGGACGTACATGTATGTGCGCAGAAATGTTCCATCTAGGGGGAGGGGTGTTGTGTCCTGAGCCTGCAAAAGCAGGCTCGGGATGTTGCATTGGTCCCGGGCATTCCAAAAGCTGCCCAGGACCAGACTGAGTGGCGCCAGCCTTGCACACATGCGCAGGGCACAAAAATGCTCCGATAATTGTCGCCATTGTGTCCAGGTCTCTGGGCAGATAAAGAGAGGCCTACGTGCCGTTTGCGTCATTGGGGTGTTGCTGTTAAATGAATAAAGAGCTGTTAACTGCACAATGAGTCTTCATCATTCATTCATGATCAAAGGACTTAACACTTAATATACAACATCCTGATCTTTTCCATTCTCTTTCCAGTTGAACAATGTATGTTTTTGAGAAACACTCCTTGAACTCTGATAAAGTTCATTCAGAAGTCCTTGAATGAGTATGATAATTGTGTATTCCTATATATACTCTACTTGACCAGGAGAAATAGTTAAAACAATTGTGCTTATTTTAAAGCCAGTCTTTTAATGCTTCATTTGTATGCTATAGAATGAGAAAATAAGATATGGGATTTTTTTCTTTTTATCCTGCAAGATAATGTTTTCTTTAAAAAGTAAATTATAATTAAAGCAAAATAATGAGCAGAGCAAACATTATGAATATGAGCTTCATACTGAAAGCTAAATATAAAAAACATATTGAATATAGAAATGTTCTTTCAGAAAAATGAATTCTATGTCAAGCTGTGTGCACAAGGATTATCTTTGTTTTCTCTGCCAAAGTGCAATTTTTACTTTTCAAAAAAAAAAATGTGGGCTTTAATGTCTGTCTTCCCTTAGCTTGTTGTAGCACTAACAATATGATTTGAAAATGATAACATTGGTTCTTCAGTATATTGTATAGGTCAGTGGTTCTCAACCTTTCTAATGCTGAGACCCCATAATACAGTTCCCCATGTTGTGGTGACCCCCAACTTATACATCCCCGGGGGCCAGGGGCATGGCCAAAGAAAAGGGGGAAAAATGGCGGACAGCCTTGTTTGGTGACCCCCGTGAAATGGTCGTTCGACCCCAAATGGGGTCCCGACCCACAGATTGAGAACCACTGGTATAGGTGTATAGCACATTGCTGTTTCAGGAGCTAACTGTGGGAAATTTCATCATCGCATTGATCATGTTTGTGCCTAGTAGAGGAAAATCTGTGATGTCCTTGGTGCTCCTGAACTTGATCATTTGCTTGCAGAAGATTCATTACCCAACTTTGTAACATCATCCTACTGGTTTTTAAAACTTGTGGTTCTCTCCCTCTCCCTCTCTCTCTCTCTCTTCCTCGCTTCCTCTTTTCCTCTGTGTGTGTCTGTATTTCACAAGGCCCCAAAAGACCTGGTTTTGCTGATCAAGTGGCTTGTTTGATTGCTGGTTGTTGCCGTGGGGATGGTGGGGGTATTGTTTTTACTCTTTTTATATATTTTATATTTTTATATTTTTTATATTTTTGTAAGCTGCATAGAGTCACAGAAAGCAAGAGGGCGGTGATATAAATTCTGTAAATAAATATCTATGTATCTATGTGTGCATTTGTGTAGGTATGCATATGCTTATGTGTATCTTCCTTCCGTTTTCATCGATGTGCAGGGTCTGATTTTTTTCGGATCAACCAAATATTGATTCATTGATTGTGACAGGAATTGACTAACTGGTTTGTCACCTGACCTTGACATTTCACACTGAGAAAGAATGACTGGCCCAAATTCACCCACCTACCTTTCATGCCTAAGGCAGAATTAGAACTCACCATTCCTTGGTTTCTAGCCTGGGGCCTTAATCACCACACCAAATTGGCTCCTCTGCGCTATGTATGTATGTTTATGTATGTGTATGATATATCTCCTATTCCTATGTTGTGCGATAGGCAGATAGGAATTGATATAACTTACAAATTAAAATATCTAGTCACTTGGAATGTGTGAAGCTTCTGCTGTTGTTTAATTGGGTTGGGTTTAACAGAATTGGGTTTCTGGAGAATCAACTTTTATTGTTGTGCCTGATATAAAAGTCTAAAAGGCCTGAATCTAAATTTCCTATAAGTCGATGATTTGTCCCTGGTTCTAGCACGGCAAGACAGAGAACTGTTGTAGGTATCTTTCTTTCACAGAAATTTCACAATTATATTAATGCCAATAGCCTTGAAAAATACACATGTTAGATTAGGACTAAGTAGGAATTCTTTATACAGTGAAGGCTCCTCTGATCTGAGTTTGCATGTGGAATTTCATTTTTAAAGTTAATTCTGTTTTCAGTCATGAAATAGTAGCTGGTATTCCAAATTACATATATAAAACTGTGCAGATGGATGATTCAAACTGTTATATCTTTAAAATCATTGCAAAAACAAATATGGTTTAAGGGCTGGAGAAAAGAGAGAACTGGATTAGCTGTGCAGAATTGGTGGACAATTTTAAAATATTATCTTCTGCTATTTTCCATGATTAATAAAATATCCAGTTAAAACTCCATTACAAAACAAAAGTACTGGGTTCCAATCTAAGATAATAATTTTGATGTTTTTTTTAATATCGAACCAATTCTATTGCAATTATTTAGAAATATTTCTTACTAGCTATTATAGGATTCTTGCTAATCACAAAGGTACAGGTTGCTATCTGCTTACTTGGCAGATATTTAAAATAGAATTACTATTCCCTATATTTCACTCATTCTAAGGAAAGGGTAAATGAACAGCTAGCATGCTAAGAAGAGCAGGTTTTATGTTCTCTTATTGCCAAAAAGTTGTTGTTTGGCATACAATATGGACATCTCTACAACTATTGGGGGGGGATAAAATAACCCTGGTTGAAGTTCATTCCCAGTGGCATATATCCCTAAGTGTGTGATTAACAAATCCCATCAAGAGTACATAGAAATAATTGCTTAAGTTCCCAAAGGTATATTAAGGAAATCACGTGCTAAGATAGAAAGCCAGCTTCTCTAATGAGGGGGAAAAAGAACATTTCTGTAGGAAATGGACTGAAGGAAAGAACCTTAGAATCCTTCAGACAGGGAGGTTTTGAAGTACAGGTAATCCTCGACTTATGATAGTTTGTTTAGTGACCATTCAAAGTTACAGCAGCACTGAAAAAAGTGACTTATGGCCATTTTTCACATGCACCATTGCAGCATGCCCATGGTCATGTGATCAAAATTCAGATGCTTGACTCCTATTTATGTCGGTTGCAGTGTCCCAGGGTCATGTTGTGTCCTTTTCCAACCTTCTAAGGCAGGGCTTTTCAACCAGTGGAACACGTACTACTGGTGGTACATTGGCATCTGGCAGGTGGTACGCAACCCTGCCTAGCCTAGACAAGAGTAGCGGGGGAGGGAACGAGCTAAAGCGGGGCAGCACAGGACTCGCCGGAGAGAGTCCTCAGGAGCTGCAGGGCTGCTGGACCAAGACAAATGTCCCAGGATCGGCACTTCCGGCACACCCGGGAGAAAAAGGAGGAGGAGGGGAGCGGAGACAGGAAAGGCTATAAAAGGAGGCAGTTTTGGCTGGAGAAAAAAGACTCCAGAGAAAGAGACAGAAGAGAAAAGGCTTTTGTTAGAGAAGCGGTGAGGAGAAAGAGGAGGGGGAACGCTTTCTGGGAGACGTGCATGTGAGAGAGAGAGCAAGGGGCTTTTGCGAGCAAAGGGTGAAAGAAAAAAGGAAAAAAGTGAGGGGGGAGAAGGGAAAAAGAAAAGGCATTGACTTCCGACTTTCTCTGTTGCAGTAGAAGGAAGCACTAATATTGAACCTCAACTTCTTACTTTTCCATATTATAAAATAGCCATTTCTATAACAACAGATGAATCTAAGAGTAAAACCCAAAATCCCCCCCCCTTTTTTAAGTCATCAAGTTTTGACTCCTTGCTAACCACTGGTGGTACTCGAATATTGTCATGTCCTAAAAGTGGTACAATCTCTGAAAAGGTTGAAAAGCCCTGTTCTAAGGAGAAAAGTCAATGGGGAAGCCAGATTTGGTTAACAAGCCAGATTTGGTTAACTAACTTAACAAGTACAGTGACTTACTTAACAGCTTTGGCAAGAAAGGTCATAAAATCGAACAACATTCACTTAGCAAATGTCTTACTTAGCAACAGAAATTTTGGGCTGAATTGTGACCATAAGTCAAGGATTATCTGTAGGTCCTCTGTCCCGTGCCACAATGAGGGTTAGGATAGAAATTATTAAATGTTAATGCTTCTGGAGCTGTATTTTGAACAATAACTCAAATGATAAACCTGCTTCTTTGTCCTATTTTTGTTCTGGAACAGTACTCACCCTGACCATATGTCCTCTCACTGAGTTATCATTTCATTAGCCTGTGATCGGATAAACTTTCATAGAGAATAGTATCAGATGGCAAAAATTATTCTCTGCAATAAAGGTAATGTACTCCATGTTTTAAAATGCTTGTCTTTTTCTTTCTTAATCCTCTTCCATGAAGCCTGTGAATGTTCCCATCTTGGTAATAATTGTGACCCACATTCTGGTCGTTGCATCTGCCCTCCAAATACTACAGGAAACAGATGTGAAAAATGTGTACCAAATCACTGGGGTCATGATATTATCAGTGGGTGCAAGGTGAGTGTTTCTTTTCTTCCCTTTTCCACTGTCCTAACTTTAGGAAATTACATCAAATAAAGTTGTCTTGTATGACTATATCTTTAAAGTTGTGTTTTAACTACAACTGGCTTAGTATATGCACAGAAAAGTCAGCTATTACAGTTGAAAGCAAAAGAACCTATATATTTACATTTGGATACAATTATTCTCAACAAAGTGAAATGATGCCAGTTGAGATCTATTTTTTTTAAACAAAAGGCATCATTTCTTCCATGGATTATGTTAAAAATATTCCAAACATTTTATTCAAGGATAACAATTTTTTTATATTTATAGACAATATTGTTATTAGTTTTTTTTAATTAAATATAGTAAAGAAACATAGAAGAGAGATCAGATTAAAAACAAAGTTAGGTGACCAGTTGAAAGCTCCCACATATTGCATATTTTTGAATTCGTCCTAAAATATTCAAATTATATAATTGAAATAGATAATAAATACTATTATATAAATAAAATGGATAATGTTGATTTGCTATTTTGACCATATCTACACTATTCTGATTCCTTGGAAGTGGATTGATATAAATGATAAAGAAAATAAATATGAAAGATCCTTTTATTAGGATTATTAAATACTTAATTTCCAGGTATTGTTTACCTTAAGTTACTGCTGATCAATGTATTTAATGGCAGTGAATTGCACTGACAGTGTCAAATGTAAAGAAACAATTGTTTATATCTGTCTAGCCTCATCTGGGTATTGTTCCTCTTTGCTTTTGGGCTTATAAGTAACTTGTGCACTCATATTTTCTCATCCTGGCTATTTCAATCAGAATTAGTTTTGTAAGAATATACTGAAAAATAAAGTTGTAATCATGACATGCTAAAAAAAGCTGGGCAAATGATTACTCGCAACAAAAAGGGGGTTAAGTTAGCTTACTGTTGCACTACATTTTTTAAGAATATGTGTCCTGAATGCAAGCAATCAAATCTATTTCTATGGTTGTTAATCCAGTTAATTAATGAGATAAATTTATTGTAAAGCTCCTTACGAAGCCTCCGTCTTTCTCCAGCATACCGATCGCCAGGCTTCTGCAAAGTGGCTTAATGAGGGTGAAGACCCCTCTTTTAGTTCCAGGCTCTCTCATATCCCTCCTTGCCTGGTCTATTATCTGAATGCATTAGTATGGCAGCTGCTATGGCACTCTCTAAATTAATAATGATCTGTCAGCCAAGTCTCCCTTTTTAGCGTATTTCAACTCATTTCTCCAAAGCCAGGTGCAAGTGCCCCCTTCTCTGTTTGAGCTTTTAGTGGAGCCAATTTCAGAGTCTGTCATAACTTATAGGCAAAGGAATATTGCATGAAGCTGTCTCCTTGCAAAACAAACCTTAAGGCTGATTGTAATTTACTCCGCATATGGTGAACAATTTGCTCACAAGAGATTATTTGTTTATTTCTCAATGTACAGACTTCCTGCTTCTTAGAATGCATAAGAACTGGGGATTCTTAATTGCTTGTCACTCTGGTTCCTTGCAAGCCCATATCTGGGCTACCGAAACCTGAACCAATATAGGTAGTCCCCAACTTATGACAGTTCATTTAGTGACTGAAGTTACGATGTCACTGAAAAAAGTGATTTATGACCATTTTTCACACTTAAAACCATTGCAGCATCCCCATAGCCATGTGATCAAAATTCGGATGTTTGGCAACTGATGTGTATTTATGACAGTTGCAGAGTCCTGGGGTCATGTGATCATCTTCTGCAACCTTCTGACAAGCAAAGTCAATGGGGAGTCCAGATTCACTTAACAGCTCAGTTACTAATTTAACAAGTGCAGTGATTTACTTAACATCTGTTGCAAGAAAGGTTGTAAAATGGAGCAAAACCTACTTAACCAGTATCTCACTTAGCAGCTGAAATTTTGGGTTCGGCTGTGGTCAAGAACTACCTGTAGAGTTACTTTAAAATCTACTGTTTACCATTTGGACTTTGAATAGAAAGGGGATATTGATACCATGAAGAGGATATTGATAACAGGATGGGGATATTGATTTGGGGATTCCTCCCCTAAAAAAAACAAAATCACATAGGCCCCACTTTTCAGTTTCATGCTTCTTCTTCTTCTAGCTTTGCCTAAAAAATTTCCTGCAAACTGAATGCTCTGATTTAACATCCTATGCTCATGCTGCAATATAGGACTATAATGTGTATATAAAGTTAAGGCTATGTAGGACTTTGAATTGGATTTTTGCAGCTGCTAGAAAATCCCAGGAATGACGTGGTTGTTTTAATGAGTTGCAGACAGACACTGCATTCATGTTCCCATACATTCCAAAGCACCTCTTGAAGACTGAAGTCAAAGCATTCCCCAAACTTACACAATTTAGCTATAGAACATTAACGAGCATATTATCTTCTTCATGGTATCTGTTAGTCTGGATATCATTTTACTAATTTGGGGATATTTTTTATAATTTATGCATATAATGATATAAATACTTATGTTCTAATTTATAAATCTGTCTTCAACTACAATTTAATAATTTGTCTGTTTAGAACTCAGATTAATCCATGGGAAGATTTTAAGTTAATTTGAAACTTGCTCCAGATTTAGTCTTACAGACATACCTCAGTTCTACTCATTTGTATTCACCACTGATGTGAGAGAAGAATCTTTACTATAGATTGAAAATAATGTTTAGTACACAAATATTGAGGCTTACCAGAAAAGATCTTACAGTATTAGTTTCTTTTCTAATTTAAAAAAAGAATTCCTGGTTAAAAGAAAGTCTTCTGGATTTGCATATTCATTCTTTTTCTAATAATGATGAATAATATGGCTGGGGAATTCTGGAAGGTGATGTCCACTCATCTTAAAGTTGTCAAGATTGTGAAACACTGGGCTAATATTTTACACATTCTGCTGATAGATGGCCCCAATTGTATACAACTCACAATTTTTTTTTTTTCACTTTGGGATTCAAGAGGCAGAGTATCACATCCAGTCCCCCCAGTATTCAGCTGCTTAAGAAACACAACTCAAGTAATAACATTTATGAAAAATGAAATCAGTGCCTGCAAATCTTTACCTACTAACACAAATACATTGATAACTATCAGTGATTGTTGCAGTCATTTTTGAGTATTCCGTGTTCTTTGGTTAAAACTGAAATCCTTCAAATGTTTCCCTCTCTAAAACAAGCTAATTTTTTTTTTCCTCTAGGCCTGTGACTGCAGTGTAGCTGGATCCCTCAGCCTCCAGTGTAACCCTGATAATGGCTGCTGTTTCTGTCGTCCAGAATTCTCTGGAGATAAATGCACTGAATGCAGGCTAGGCTATCGGAATTACCCACAATGCATTGCCTGTGAATGTCGGGTAGCAGGGACCAAGCCGCAGACTTGTGATTCAGAAATGGAAAAGTGTTCTTGTGCTGATCATACAGGACAGTGCACCTGTAAAGTAAGGAGAGGGGGGCTTTCACCCCTTTTTATATGTATTTCTGTTTTTAATCTGTCTCCTGGTAGTACCTTCTCGTTAGATCAATCAGCAGCTTAAACTAAATGAAAGAAATATGTTTCTACTAGCCAGACACTCAAAACCTGGGATGTAAGTATAATTTATTTCAGTAATTCTTAAATCCAAGGAAGTGGCAGCACTTAGCCAATCCTTGCTGATCTGGAAAAAAAAAGGCAGAGGAGAGTTGAATCTAATTAATATTTGGAGGCGAAACCATTGGAAATTCCCAGGGGTTAAGACTAGACTGGGAAACCAGTCGACATAAAACCATTTAACTATCACTGCCAAAGGGAACCATGTGGAAAGCTCTGTGGAGTTACCAGATAATCAAGGTTGGCTTATAGAGGATTTTGTCATAATGTTATAGTTCAGCCTTCTCCAGTGCGGTGTTGTCCAAACTTTCATTCAGAAACAAAACAGCCATCATTTTTCACTTTTGTCTGTTGCTTAAGTTCTGTTGAATTGTTAAGCTGTCTTATGGAAGTAATGCAAAGCAACCTTTCAGCAACTTTCAAAAAAAAATTCTTCCTCTATGTAGCCTGGTGCTGATGGTTATAATAACCTACTCTGGAGTTTAGCCATTGTGAACTCCATTTCACATTAAGGCTCAGTCAGAACTTAGGTTTTTGTGCTTTTCAGTTTCCCCAGATCAATTAAATTTTAAAAAAAAAACCAGGAGGCAAGTAAAGAATTTTTTTTAAATGATATGATCTTGAATGTTTCAGCCATTGAGCTTTATTCTGCAAAAGGCATCTTATTACCACATATCTTCTTCCTAGTAGTACCTTTTGATAAGGTAGGCTCCAAATTAAAAGAGAATTACGATAGTTTCTAAAGCTTTCTCTTCTTTTTTGTTAACAGATGAATGTGGAAGGCTTCAACTGTGACAGGTGCAAACCTGGCCGATTTGGACTCTCTGCCAGAAACCCTATTGGCTGCAACAGCTGCTACTGCTTTGGCCTGACATCAGAATGCAGTGAGGCAAAGGGACTGATCCGTGTGTGGGTGAGTATAAGACTGCTGAGCCATGTAATGCAATAATGTTGTTTCCTGCTGATATCTTTTAGCCAGACACAGAGATGAAGATAGGAAATATAGAAAGGCATTTAAGCAATTTCTCCCCTGTGTATTTTAGAACTGGATAGAAAGCCATGTTCCATTGAGCAATCAGGGTCAAAATGTTGAAAAGAAACCTCAGATTGAATAATAAATGTCAATCCCTTGAGTAAAGCTATTAAAATCCAGAAAAGAAAGATGTAATGAAAGGGATAGCTGACTGTTCCATGCAAAGTTTAACAATCTTGGCTGCTCAAATGCCAAATCAGAATTTATCTACAGGGCTAGATTGCAATCATATTAAGAGAATTTATATGATGTAATACTTGCAATTTCCTTAAAAGCAAATTAACCATTGACAAGTATTGCTTTAATATTTTTATTGTCTGTAGAAAACATGTTTTCCACCATTTTCTAGCAGGGTGGTTACAGATTAGTCATTTTACATAGAGTTTCATAAATCAGGCAGCATACAAATCTTTGTAATAAAAAGAAATGTAATAAAAATCCTGATTACTAGGACTGTGCAAAGTTGTTGTATATTAGCTCAAACAAAGGTAATATTTCTTTGGATGCAGCTGCTCCCAACTATCTTTGTATATGTGCTACAGCTATTAAAGCAGCTGTCCTGCCCCAAAACACCAATGCTGAGATCTTTATTGTTTCTAAACCGATAGACAGATTCTTGCCAAACTGAAGTACTCTACTCTGCATTTACCATATACTCTGAAAATTATTAGGAAGGTGCTGTTTTCACCCTTTTTCTCTCACACAAAATATCTGGACTGAGTTGTCTCTTATTCCTCCAGAATGTACTCCCTCCCTCCCGGGAATCCTTACTACAATATTCCATCAAATTAGCTCACCAAAACCACAGTTGCTTTAATGATTATTACAAAACTGATGGAAGATGGATTAGAAAAATACAAAGACAGAGTATCAAAATTAGTCAGATGAAAAAGCTTCCAACAATAACATCAGTTTTAATGTTGAAAATTTTGAAAAATTATATCAGGAGGAGAGAAATTATAATAAGTTATTGACTGATTATGTGCCATCAAACTGTTTTTGACTTCTAGCAACCACATAGATAGATTTTCCCTCCATAATTATCTCCCTGACTTAGTCTTTCAGGTCTTCAAGTAGTTCATTTATTTCCACTGTAATTGAGTCTATCTACCTTGCCATTGGTGATCCTCTTATTCTTTTTCCTTGTACCTTTCCCAGTAATAAAGACTTCTTCAGAGAGCTAGGTCTTCACATAATGTATCTGAAACAGGATAATTTGAGCCTGGTCTTTTGTGCCCTGAATACTCTGAGTTTATTTGTTCAATGATCCATTGTTTTCCTGGCTGTTCATGGTATTTTTAGGAATGTTCTCCAATTCCAATTTTCAAAAATGTCTCCCTATAGTCTCCTATTGTGATTTCTCAAAGTCTAACTTTCATTTCCATAAAATGTCATAGGGAATACCATGGGTTCTATTATTTCTATGACATCCTATTCCAAACAGCATTAGAAGTTAGACTTCAAATCCAGAATTTAAAGTTATGTTCTTTTTCTTGGACGTAGCCCTTGGAACTTAATGGGATTTTCAGATAGTCTCGATAAGTCAAAGGAAGACAGAAAAAGTCAATAATGAAGTTCCTAAATGAGCTACTCAAGATTCGGAGAAGTTTCTCATACAAGTATCAAAAACTATAGCCTAAGTAATTATTTATATACGGGCAAACTATTACAAATGAAACTTCCATATATGTTTCAAGTGTCATTTTATCTTATTAAATGGAGATTTCAGTTTAGAGCATGGCTGAGAGGTTGATTTCCAGGGATGTGAAACATGAGACAACCATTGTTTATATGAATTTTTACGTCTTAATTTTTATTACATTAACTCTTTTTTGGAGCATAATCTCTAAAGCAAATTATTTCAAAACTCTTGGGTTGCTTAAAAGGAGGAAAGTAAATGAGTAAAAAAAATAGAAATCGTATAAATTATCTGAATACTCTGAAAATAAGCCTAGCTACAATATTGTGTTGGTGTATGATTGGTGTTAAATATGTGGGCTTTAACATTCCATTTAGATCAGTGGTTCTCAACCTGTGGGTCGGGACCCCATTTGGGGTCGAACGACCATTTCACGGGGGTCGCCAAACAACGCAGTCCGCCATTTTTTCCCTCCTTTTCCTTAGTTGTGCTACTCCCTTTTATTCTATTGGCTTTTGAAAACCAATAGAATAGACTCTCTTGAATAGAGTCTAATTCTATTGGCTTTCAGAAGCCAATAGGAATTGTCCAGGCTGTCTCTGCCCTGCTTAGCCCGCCAAAAGTCCCATTCTGCAAACGGTGCTGCACCAGTTGAGTAGTCCTCGACTTACGACTGGTTGGGGGTCACGGCATTAAAAAGGTTGAGAACCACTGATTTAGATGATTACAACTGAACATAAAGTAATTGGAAAATAGTGAAATTTGCTATCTCAACTAGACAATGTTTCAGAAATATTATAAAAAGGGAATTTGTAAATTCAGACTTTTTGTAGAGCTTCTACAGGCACTTATTGAAAGGTGTTTGGAAACTGAACTGATTAAAAAAAGGCTCAGACATTAAAACAATGGTCCTCTCCAAAGATAGTTACAAACAGAAGGGGTTATTCCCAGTAACTGAAGACATTGATTCTCACATTAAATCTAAAAAACAGTCAAGAGTTGGTGGGCTTTTCTTCCCAGGGCAATAAATTCTGGTGACCAGGGCAGTGACATGAAACAAAATGAAAAGGAAAAAAACACACCATGTGAATAGTCTTTTGGCCCTTATCATTCTTGGACAGATATTACCAACATTATAGATAAGAGGACATTCAATATTCCAAATGTTGCTGAGGAGAAAGCTATTGCCGGGAGATAATAAACATCAACCCCTTCCACCCACGTAGCTTTAGGATCCTTGTTAATAAATGAGGCAAATTTGAGATGTTCATATGATTCCTGATTGCAAAACAATACAGAAGCCTTGGCAGAATAACATGTGGTTTTTAATTTTTCCACAAAGTGGTCATCTGATTAATTACTACTGAAAGAATTTATATCTACTTCAAATGATCTACTGACAATTCTTATCAAACTACCATGTTTCCCTGAAAATAAGACCTTTCCCGAAAATAAGCCTTGCTTGATTTTGACGGGTGTGCCTAATATAAGCCCTACCCTCAAAATAAGCCCTAGTTAAGAGCCTGCGCAACTGGCCGTCTATCCATTCCATCTGGTTCATGGTGCCATGAGGTGGGGGCAGGTGGGGGAAGGAGGTGAAGCTGCCCCATGCACCCCGCACCCGCTTACCTCAGGGCCCCCTCAGTCAGGCATCCCATGCCCCAATACCTGCCTCATCTTGCAGTGACGGCACCAAAAACCTTATCCAGCAGGAGCACACGTGGCTGCCACTGGCTCATTTCTGCAGTTGCTCATCGTTGCTTGCACATGTCGCCTCCAGGCTCTATTTTGCCAACAGAAAAGGCCTCTACAGCCAAGAATGGAGCCCCGAGTTGACATGTGCGTTATCCCCAGGTCCTGCTTTGCCAGCAGAGGGCTTCAGAAAAGGCCTGAAACAGAGCCTGGGGGTGATGCACATGTCAACCTGGGGTTCCGTTCTTGGCTGCAAAGATGGCAAAAGGCTTTGCAAATAGAGGGAAGGCTTTGATATTTCAACCCTTACTTCCATTTGCAAAGCCTTTTGCTGCAAATCTCATCTAGGCCTCTGTTTGCAGAGAACAGAGGCCTAATGTACTGTGAGATCACACAAGATCAGTAGCAAGCAACTGCAGAAGAAGTGGGCTGGCTGCGACCATGAGGGCTCCTGCTGGACAGGGCTGTTGCTTCTACCGCTGTGAGATGAGAGAGCAGAAAAATAAGTTATCCCTTGAAAATAAGACCTAATGCCTCTTTTGGAGCCAAAAAAATTTAAGATCAGGTCTTATTTTCGGAGAAATGTGATAGTCAAGATTGGACCACAGAAAAACATAGTATAGTATTTGATAATATTTTACTAATGTACAACCATTCCCAAATCTATACTCATTTTATAAATAAGAGAAAAAACAAAGTAAAGTCTCAGGTGAAAACCAAGAAAATAAAAAATAGACTCAAGTAGAAAATCAAGTAAGGAAAAACAGGAACTGGAAGAGCATTGCTATTCCCAAACAGGCTTCCAAACTTACAGTAAGTATAATAATCTATTCAAATTTTTGGGAACAGCTGACAAAAGAAACAACACATCAACTAAAAAAACCATCCAGGAAGAAAATGATAGCAAAATAAATTTCTTAATGAAGTAAGGTTGAAATGACCAATACATGTCTAATCTAGCAATGTTCAATGTCTGTTGAGGACTTTATTATTGAACAAAATCATCTAGCAAATAGCTCAACAAGTTCCATGCAGAAGGTGCTTACTTGCAACTAAGTTGGCATTTATCAGCTTCCCCAAACTTAGATGATCTCTCTTACAGGTGGAACAAAGATTAGATTTACTACATCTATTTAAAACTTTCTCCCCACTTAGATTTGTTTCAGATGATATTTACTGATTGAATATTTATACAGCACATAGCAAAATTAATGGTAATTTTTGATTCTGTTAATATGACATAAATGGTTTATTAATTTAAATATCTCCTTCAGGCAAGATGGCTTGCATACCTACAGGTAGATATTTTAATAATGTTTCTGTATTACATGCAATGCTATTAATTATCTTAATTCATATCTTCAACTGCAAATGATCAATTGTTGAGTCAACCGGTGATTTAAAAAAAATACATGAAGTTGTATATGTACACAGGTTGGCCCACTAGCATTCTGTGAAAGTTTTCCAATTTATCTAATTTATATAGCCACCTGTCTCATAGCAAGTGACTATGGACAACGTATCACAAAACTAAAAATAAGTATCTAAA